AAAAAAATAGGAAATTGAAAAGTTAACACTGAAGGACTCTTATCAAAATTCGATATCACCTAAAATAGATTAAAATAGAATTGCATTACGATATTCATAGAACCCTTGGTTGAGAGATCATCAAGGATAGGTTGAGATCCTGAATATTGTCGTTGTTGCTTTGATTGAAGTTTTTGTTTTTCCACATGAATATCATTCGTATCATTGTCATCTTTGCATGTCAAAGAGCTACATGATGTCATCTGAATGTGAAAATGATTCTTTTTTAAAGGAATGAAAAAATTAAAAATTAAAACGATATTATGATATTGAAATAATTTTTTAAGCAATTGGTAGGAAAGTTCAAATAAATGACTTTTGATCAATCTAAATAAATTTTTTTTTCGTTACTTCTTTTGAATCTGTTACTTCAAAAATTAGAATTGAACGGTACTGTATGAAAGCTTATCGAACCTAACCTTATCTATAAATGATGGCAATATGATTGCTTCAACTGCTTTATTTTCCATTTCATTCATTCGTTCATTGTAAATAGTTTTTCCCGATTTTACCGTATTATTTTCAACTGTAGCTATCAAATCTGAAATTTAATTATTTTTAATTTATCATTAAATTAGATCTTTCAAGTATGATTTAAGTGGAATTAATTCTTTAAAGTCTTTTAAATCATAACATCAAAGTTTACTCATTTTAATATATTTTAATATGCATAAAAATTGTATCTATTCAAAAACCTTTCTTTTTTCTCCTTTTCAACCACTTATTCACAATTAATTAATATTAAAAATGAAATAATAAAAATAAAATTAGTTTTAGTCTATTTTATATGAATGAAATTAGAATAAAATTTTATTGCATTTCATGATATTGTGAAAAGAAAAGAATTCGATAAATTATTTTATATTATAAATTACAAAAATAAACCGACAAATGTGAATTTTTTTTCTCATCTTTTTCTTTTCTTTTTTCTTTTGCAAAGACATTTGTATTCGTTAAATTATTCGCACAATTATTACACACTTCATTGATTTTAATCATGGTAAAATGGCGGTGAAAGTTCATTGACCTTATTTTAAGTGTTACATTTTCTGATCATCAAAATATCTATCTCAAAAGAACTTTCTCAATTTAGAGTATTTGTATTCATTTTGTTACAAAATACATTTAATTATTAGAAAATTTTCAAATTTTTACATCTTTTTAAGATTTTTTTCCTCTTTTTTTTTTTACTATGGTAAAATGAAATAAAACTTTTCCGCATTTGAGATTTTTTTTTTACCCCGCAGAATTTATAAATGTATTACCATAATTAACCATTAATCATTAAACTGTCATTAAAAAAAAAAATAAAAAATAAAAATGTGTGCAAACCTGCTTAGTGCATGCATTAAGATGAGAGAGTTAATTTTACCATTTCAATTTCAAAGTATTATTTATGACAAGTAATTAAGCATTGCAAAATAATCGCAAAACTTAAAAACGAAATAGTTGCATAAATCAAAACTTTCATAATTAATAATAAATCTTAAAAATCAATTGCTGCCTTTTTAGCTACAAAGATTTTATTATGTTTAACTGAAAAACGAAATTACATTTTTAAAATGTTGCTAGATCCTTTATAAATTGAAATTTTTAAATAAAATACATTTGTTTCTACCAATCTTACTTCAAGTTTCTTTATCTCTTGCACTATTTTAATTAAGTAACCAATTTGTTGCTTTCTTTGGATTATCGTTTAAAAAAAAATCGATAAATAAATATTGATTATTTAATTAAAATAATGAGTGGTAAGAGGTGGAGAATTTGATAAAAGGGAAATTTTTTGATTTACAAGAAAAAAAGGTAAAAGAGAGAAATTTTTCTATACTCATCTAAAAATGAATTTCCATTTAATTAAACTAATGACTGAATGAAAGTTGACAAAAAATAAAATGAATAATAAATGTGAATGAAGAAACATAGGCTTTAAATTGAAGCGCATTTTCTTTTCTTTTTTTTTTGTTTCAAATAAAATATGGTGAAATGGTTTCGTAAGAATGAATTGATCAAATTTAAAAAAAAAAAAGCAAAAATATTATTTCCAATCAATATTTGATAAACTAAAAGCATTATATTAATTGTAGTGGAACTTCTGAAACTTAAATTCATCTCGGGAAAGTATCAGACGAGGACTGAAATACTTGAATATTTCATTCAAAAACATTTGCACAACAAATTTTATTTTATAATTGCAAAAATATTTCAAAAATTCTCATCACTTATACTAATAAAGAAATTTATTTTCATTTCACTTTTTCATTCATTACTTTCTTGAAGCAAATAATGAAATAGAAATAGATGCAATTAGTGAAAAATATATTTCGTATTCAAAATGAAATAGTACTGCTTTCAAATAATCACTAAATTAACATTCTATTTGCTAACTTCAATTATTATTTAAATAAAAAGTGAATTCTCAAAGTTGTTTGAGAAAATTCTGAACATTTTTTAGAGAAATAATAGCAAGCAAGAAATGAAACGCATTTAGTTTTATTAATTCGACAAAATTAAAATTTCATTTCATTAAAAATTTTTCTCCAAATTATTTTCCATAAGTTCTGCTTTATTTATGAATGTTATAAACACCAAATGAATAATTTTACTTTTTGTAATGTATAGAATGAAAAAAAGAATTTATAATTAATTAATTATCAGGTCATAACACACAATTAATTATTAGATCATAAGTTCTTAATTCCGAGTAATATGTTTCAGTCATCAGAGAATTTTAATTTCAAACTTTAATTTCAATAATTTTGATGTTTATGCTTTAAAGCGAATGAAAATATGCAGTGATAAGGATGTACAAGCGTTGTTCCAAAAATGGAAAATAAACATTGTCCCAAGGTGTCACAAAATTTTATTGTTACAAAAGGACATTTGAAATATTTAAAAATATCTAAAACTAAAAAATAATTTTAGATAATTTAGTAATTTTTTCAGAGTTTTAAAATTTACAAAATTTATTATTTATGCATGGAATTAATCGAACACATGAAAGAAAATTTTATTTTGGTTTGTAATGTTTGTTTGCATATTTAATTCGTTCTTAGGAGCTGTTGGATTAAAACTAATTTAAGCAACTTATACACGACAAATATACATTTAATTATTAAAATTCTAATCGAATAAAAAAATAAAAGAAAAAATTTAAACGAATTTTAGTTGATTAAAATAAAAGAACAAATAAAAGAAATTTTAGTTGACTATTTAATTTTTAATCGAATAAAAATTATTCTTTACTTCTAGATTTGATTATAAGAACATTTATGCTTTAAACTTTAATCGAATAAAAGAAAATTAAAATTGATTATAACAATATCAGAAGATTTCTATTTTCAACATTATGAGACATGAAAAGCACTTTTTTTTTGTCCTTTCTTTAGATAATAAATCAAAACATACACTTTGATTAAACCATTTCTTTTTAATTTCTAATATAATTTTCCTATTTCAGCATTTTGTCTTCTTACATATTATGAAATGCAGTTAAGTGAATGTTTGTCTTGTAATGTTCCTGATAACGATCGCATTACGATTGTACCGTTCTGCTGATTATTCAAATAAAATAAAATTCACTTTTAATTTCAAATTATCATTATCAGAAGTTATATTTCAGTCTAGATTAAAAAACATTACTTTAACAAGAAGAATAAATTCTTTTTTTCTGATAAATACATTCGTAATTTGACGCATATCAAATTCTTAAGTCAGAGTATAAGTTCACGTCACACGTGTCATATAGCTTTGAATTTACATGACACCTGTAGCATAACTTAATCTTTGAATCATTTATAGGAAAAAATTTAATCACTTCTTAACTTTCACTTAGCCTTTGTAACAATTTTTCTATAACTTTCCGTTTTTCAAAAAATCCTTGAAAATATCCAAATACTTATGTTTTTTTCCTTATTTTTTTTAACATTTGATAAATTATTTTATCAAAAAACAAAAAAAAAAAACTACTAAAAGTAAGAGTCAATATGCTAAATTTCATCATTTCATTTCTTTCTTTTTTTCAAATATTTCTTTTTTGACTTCCCTCAACCAATTCACCACTTTTTAATTTGTTTTTTTCTTTGAGTTAAAAAATTTAAATGATTTCAGTTGCACAAAATTGGAAGAATAAATTTACAAAATTCATTTTATTTTCAGGAATAAGGAAAAGTCAAGAAATTATATATTTAACATGTTGGAAACATTGCATTATTTTTGCCAAATTTTGAAAAATTTTTCAAATCAAAAATTTTTGATTATAAAAATATAAATTAAATTTCATTATATCATGTATTGTGAAATGGAAATGCATTTCGACATTTCTTTATCGCTATTTTTTAAACAAAATTTAAGATATGTTTGGATCATAAAATTGATAATATTGAATAGATCTAAAATCTCACTTATAAAAAAAAAAAAAAAATACTTTACCATAAAAAGTACATGTAAACAAGAAGCAGTCAGATATTTCTTTTACAATTTTTTGTTAGAATTCTGTAAAGTTATAAAAAAAACCAAAATTGAGTAAATCATTGAGAAAGTTTGAAATTTTCAAATTTTCG